ATGTGTGTGTGTGTGGTGTGTGTGTTGTGTGTGTGACGTGAGTGAGTGAGTGAGTGAGTGAGTGTGTTATGTGTTGTGTGTGTGTGTATGTTTAAAAGATAGAAAGAGAGAGAAAATGTGCGTGTGTGTTGTGTGCATGCGTTTGTGCGTGCGTGTGTGTGCATATGTGCTTGCGTGTATTCTTCGGCACGTGCGTCTCCGTGTGACATTTACATCGACCCTCGTCTTGGTCTGAAAAAAGACAATTCCAATCCCAACTTTCGCCCTTATATCCGCACAACGTTTACCCAAAACAGAATCTTCGAGACCTTACCATTTCCGAAACTCTCTCCCCTTCCAGATTCCCATTTCCTTTTCATTTGTTTTCTCTCTTTTTCTTTCTTTTTTTTCCCCCTTTCTCTTTAGTTGTTCGACATTTGGGCTTAAGATTTTTTCTCTCTCTCTCGTGTCCTGTTCAATTTTATTTTTTGGGTTTTGTCCTCCTACGGTTTCCATTGGCATTTTCTTGTCTCTCTCCCCCTTCGTTTCTTCCTTCGTTGACACACAAAAAAACTACTCTGCCTTTCTTTCTCTTTTTTTTCTTCAGACAAAACTTCTATCTAATTCCACCTTTCTTTTTTTCATAAAATACCCAACACACACACAGGTAAACACACAAACACAGATATTTTGTAACAGTCGAGTATCTTTTCCTTCTTCAGCCGCGTGTTTGGATTTTATTTTTAATTTTGTGGTGAATCAGGGAAGCGTAAAGAGTGAGAGAGAAGCAAACAAGAGGTAAGTGTAGAATGGAAAGGCAACTGAAACTCGGTGTTAGCACACAAGCACGCATTGTGTGTCTGTACAGGCATGTGCGCTTGTTTATACTTACATACACTCATGTATGAATATAAGCAGATAGAGAGATAGAGCTAGGTAAAGTTACATGCTTTGAAAATAGATAGAGATAGATAGATAGATAGATAGATAGATAGATAGATAGATAGATAGATAGATAGATAGATAGATAGATAGATAGATAGATAAATGATAGATAGATAGATAGATAAATGATAGACAGATAGATAGAGATGTAAATGGATAGCCAGAGAAATATGAATATAGATCTGAACGTGTGTGTGCGTGGGCAAAAAAATACCACACTGTTGCACTGTTGGTTGTACACACCAACAGCACAAAAATTGGGGAAAAATCGTCGCTGCCTTTTCACTGGATGCCAAAGGGGAAAACACGACATTCGGAGAGCAGAGTGGAGGACTGGTTCCTCTGACCAGATATCACATGCCAGACTATGTGGAGGACAATTCGCATCAATGTATGTATCTATTTATTATCTCTCAGCTTGATAAAGTTGATGATTTATTATCTTGTAAACTGTGTGGAGGACAATTCGCATCAACGTATGTATCTATTTATTATCTTTCAGCTTGATAAAGTTGGTGATTTAGTATCTTGTCTACTATTTCTAGTATGAGGCTTAACTTGACTGAGAATTGTAGAACCATTTCTGTAGAAGTTTGATGCAATTTCCACCCTTATTACGATTTTTTTTATTTTCCATGCTTATTTTCTGGTCCCTTTCTCTTGGTATGTACTTAACATTTAGTGAAAATAAATAAGTTACGTTTAACTGTTTCTACTAGAAGCTTCTCTCTATTACTGAGAATCAATTTCGATATATAATGATGTTTATTGGTACCTGCTAGTTCCTCAAAACAAATGGGAGGGTCCATATTCACGGCAGTTTCTAGTTTTTTTTTTGTTTTTTTTGTGTGTGTGTATGTGTGTGTGTGTGTGTATGTGTGTGTGTGTGTGTGTGTGTGTGTGTGTGTGTGTGTGTGTGTGTGTGTTGTGTGTGTGTGTGTGTATGTGTGTGTGTGTGTGTGTGTGTGTGTGTGTGGTGTGTGTGTGTGTGTGTGTGTTGTGTTGTGTGTGTGTGTGTGTGTGTGTGTTGTTGTTGTTGTTTGTTGCTGTTGACTTTGCATTTTTGCCTCGTTTTTGGCTCAGTATAAAGGCGCAACTTGTTTACAACAGAGTTCCTACTACACGAAAGAATTGGGTTCATTCTCTATTCCCTTGAAATGGAAATCTCGACTTGTTAAAACTGCTTGTTCTGTCGACTTCCTTGAAACTGGGAATTTCGGCAGACCTACATATTGCAGTTCTTTATTATTTTATATGTGTAGTACATAGAGGATAGGTTGTCAGGTACGCATAATTTCATTATTTCATAGAGTTGTGGTATTACAGTTACCATGTGCGGATGTTGTGGATGTTGGTTATGATGATTATTGTATTTTTTATTATAATCATCATTATCATCATTATCAATAGCATCATTATCGCTGCATCATTAACATTAACTTTATCTTTTATTTTAATTTTATCATCATAATCATAGTCATTGGCATCGTCTTTGTTATTATTATCATTTTCATTATCATCACTATTAATATTATTATTACCATTATGCTTATTATCACAAACATCATTTCTATTATCATTACTACTAAATTCTTTAATATTATCATTATTACCATTATGGCTATCATCATCATAAGTACTATTATTGTTATTATTATTATGATGATGATGATAATGATGACGATGGTTTCTATTATGACACCGACTTCAGTGTGACACCGACTTCTCAGTGACACCGACTTTTCAGTATGACAACGATTCTTCCGTATGACAACGACTCTTTAGAGTGACAACGACTTTTCAGTATGACACCGACTTTTCAGTATGACACCGACTCTTCCGTATGACACCGACTTTTCAGTATGACAACGGATTCTGAGTCAGACGGGATTTCATCAGTGTGGCAACGGATTTTCAGATTTCCCGGATGAATAATGGATGTTAAAAGGGACACAACCGAATGCTTGATATTTTCTTTTCCTTTCCCTCTGTATTTTTAGCTTTAAAACTACTGAATTTCATGACCTGTAAGAGCAAACATAATGGAAATGTTTGTGTAAGGAAAAACGTTTATTTTGAAAGGGTAATATGCGTTGGTGTGTTTGAAGGTTGTGAAAAGGAGGTGGTTATCATCGTTATTAATATTTTATTACTGTTAGATTTGTTGCTTTTATTGTTCGTCTTCTATTCTTCTATATCTTATTTTATCTTCTTCCTCTTCTTCCTAATACTAATTTATTTTTAAACAAATTATTACATTTACTAGAATGACTATCATTATAACCATGAATTTCATAATTTCCTGGTCATGTCTAGTATCTTCAAAGTCATGTCTAGTATCTTGTTTCTAGAAAAGAGAATTAATGTTTGTGTTCAAATTCATATTTACCTAAATGATTTAAAAAAAAAAAACACTTGTACTTAATCATCTTAAAGTAGAAAATAAAGAAGCAAAAACAAAAGGATTTCCTCTCCATTCTTCCTAATTAACCCGTTATGACAATAGGAGCAGATTAACAGTTAATTAAATGAAGTCGCTTGTGAATGTGTAGAGCCGTGGGTACATGCAGTTCAGACAGCAAGAATAAATAAATAAATATAAATATAAATATAAATATAAATATAAATATAAATATAAATATAAATATAAATATAAATATAAATATAAATATAAATATAAATATAAATATAAATATAAATATAAGCATAAATTGACAAACGCTTAAATATCTATGTTTTATTTTACTATTTATAACAATACGTGAGAAGGGTTGTTGTTCTAATATACAGTCGTGCATGTGTGTATGTATTTAGCCTTACTATTATAAAAAACGCTCATATACCTGTATGTGTACGTATGTGTGTGTGTGTGTGTGTGTTGTGTGTGTGTGTGTGTGTGTGTGTGTGTGTGTGTGTGTGTGTGTGTGTGTGTGTGTGTGTGTGTGTGTGTGTGTGTGTGTGTGTGTGTGTGTGTGTGTGTGTGTGTAGTGTGTGTGTGCATATGTGC